TCCCCGTGTCAGTCAAAAGTTTAAGTAAGGATTTGAGCTTTAAGAGAGGAGAGTAACTTCAACTCCCTCAAAGTTTAGAGTTAAGATTTTAAATTGGAAGTACAAACAACTTCCACCAGTTAAAGTTAAGTGTTTAAGTAAAGTACTCAAGTACTAGATTTTTAAAACGTAAGGGCTTAGACTGACCGCAACTCACTCACCAGTTTGAAGATGAAGAAGCTAGAGGAGCAGTTAGAGAGAAGCGGGATCGAGAGAAACAGTTCGAGTGAAGCTAGCTAGAGGAGGACGGTCCGAGCGTCACAGAGGATGTCTAGTCAGAGTTTTTCACACAAGCAGCAACACTTGAGACTAGTTAGTTATTATGTTTTATGAGTATGAGTATATACTGGAGATCAAGTTGAGTTTTTAAAGTTTGAGTTAAGTTGCCCACGTGTAAGGGCGTTGCTTTGAACTACAAGAGTGGTTTTCAAAAATTTATTTATGAAAATTTTTCCCAGTTGCAATTTAAGATTTGAGTATTTTATCTATCAAGGGCATTTTAGTAAAAGTAGTACCCGGCCGGGTTAGGGTGTATCATTTTCCATGTCAACCTTCAGAGCCATGTAGCCCTTCTTCCCTTGCTTTTTTATTTTTAGATAATGCATTAGCTCATGTCCTATAAGGATGTTATCAATAATCTGCCGGTCTCTGATAAAACCATTTTGGCCCTCCGAAACAATCTGAGGGAGCATGCTAGCCAGCCGATCAGCCATGATTTTGGTAATCACCTTGTAAACAACTGACAAAGGCTAATCGGACACAATTGTCTAATTGTTTCCACCGATTCCAGTTTAGGGATCAAAGTAAGCCAGGTATGGTTAAAACTTTGCAGCATCCGACTCGAGGCAAAGAAGGAAATAACTACTTCAACCACCGAGGTGCCCACAATATCCCAGAAAGCTTTAAAGAACTTCCCTGTGAAGCCATCCGATCCCGGGGCCTGCTTCGATCTCATGGAAAATACCGTACTCCGAACCTCACTAGGCAAAACCTCTGCCGCCAATTGCGCATTCATTTGCGGAGTAACACTATGGGCAATAAGAAGATTCGCCACCCTCTCAGCCATATTAGGAACCTGAATTTCCGAGGTAAACAGGGTCTGGTAAAAATTGGTGGCAATAGAAGCCTTCCCCGTTTCTTCAGTGACCCATTCACCCTCCTCATTTCGAAGCCAGAAAACAAAGTTCCTTTTCCGTCGAGTCCTTGTGACCGTATGGAAGTAGGCAGAATTTTGATCTCCTTTTTTAACCATTTCACCCTGGATTTTTGCTGCCAGTACACTTCCTCCGCTTCCCAATGGGGAGAGAGCTCCGTTTCCAGGGTCCTGATCTCATCCCAATCCACTGGATGGATCGACTTAATCCTATCAATCTCAGCTTGAAGCGTCCTGATATTGCGCAGGAAATTAGTAGTGTCCGCCCTGCTCCAATCATAGAGCAGATGACGAAGACTTTTTAGGCGCTCCCACAGTCGAAACATAGGGGTACCTTGGATCTCTTCCTGCCAGACATACTGGACCATTGCCCTCACTTCAGGATTATCCGCCCAGCGGGCATCAAAACGGAAAAGAGGCCGACTACTCCGAGCATAAGGTTTATCAGCGAGTAGCAGGACCCGATTATCCGACCCCTGGTCCGTAAAGTGCTTGACCAGAGTCTCCGGATAGGTATCCATCCAAGAGTGGGAGCAAAGAGCCCTATCCAATCGTTCACGAATACACGCCGAGCCAACTGGGTAGCTCTAAGAGCAACATTACCGCTAAAATAAACAAAGATCACCACATAAGAAAGATCTCCTTCATTAATTTGCGAACAAATACAGAAATTGGAATAGAAAAACACCGAAGCGTCAACCCCGGGGGACCAAGCAAAAAATAAACCTCCTGATGCATCGACTGCATCTACAAAGAAACAATGTGAAATAGCAAAATCTAACCCCCGCATACGGCGGGACACTACACGCCGGCTCGATTGTGTTTCCGAAAAAAACACGAGATCCGGTTTATTGGAATGAACAAGCCCTATAGCAGTTTGGAAAGTGACGGATGGTCCAATTCCTCTCACATTCCAGGCCAGAAGCCTCATTTATCGGTCTGGGGCCATTCGCGGCTGGCTTCCTCCACCTTTTCCAGACCATCAGCAGTTTCCACAAATTGTTTCTTCGGAGTGGGGGGGTCACCTACATCCCCGTCCAACGCATCAATCCCCCGCTTCCGATTCTCCATGATTGGGCCCATCAGATTAGACCCGTATTCATTCAGAGTCAAACTCGGCTCCTTTGGAGGAGCACCCTCCTTCTGCTCGAAGACAAGCCCAGCCTCAAACGCCTCCACTACTTGGTGGACACGTCCTTTCATGATTTGGCAAGCCTTCGTAGAGACCCCACCTAGTGAACGTAATAGAAGGTAACATTAAACATTAAAGTGTAGACGAATGAATCATTCCTTTACGATGGTAGGGTTGAGACTTGAGACAATCAAAACATACTACAGAAAAATTTGGTACGACTATGAGGGAAATTTCAGTTAAGCACCTAAGTTTACAATGCAAGGCAGCTGGATGCAAATTTACCAGGCAAGGACAATTCAACATAAAACTCTTTGTAGACCATTTTTGTACAATCTGCGGGCACGCTCTCATCAACATGTATGTGGAACTGAAGGCTCTCGGTTGATCCACTATTTCGATGGCAAAACTCACGTGTTTAATGGGGCTCTGTTTTCAAGAAAACACAAAACAAACAGTCAAATATCCACCGCCGAATTTCGGCGCCGTTGATTTGATCGATTAAATAGAAACCAAGACGACCGTCAAATATCCACCTTCGGCGTCGGCGATGTTGATTTGATCGATGCACCTTTGACTTCTAACCAAGAACAACTGTTACTCGGTTCACCACCTCTCCAAACTACGTTCGAACAAGGGTGTTCGACGAGAAACGAGAAATCACACCAGGAGTGTTCTAAGTTGCGTTACCTCTACTCCTATGGAGGTTCCTCTGGAGAGCTCCGTAACTACGACTACGATCTACGACTCTGCACAGGAGGTCTTTGACAGAACGGTTCTACAAAACTAGAGAGAAAAAATGATAATTCTGCGACGGTGCAGTTTGAGATTTGATTTTGCCGTCACCAACTTCTCTCTCGCTTCCCGATCTTTATACTTCGCTCTTGTCCCCGCAGCCATAGTAACTGCCTTCGCGCCTTTGTCTCCCACATTCTTCATTCCTGTCAACCGTGCGGGTAACTTCCTCCTTGTTGCTTAACTCCCACGAGTGCAAAACCTTTTAGACACGCGAAAATTTGGCCAAAACGACACTGAGCCAAAATCCCCAATCCTCCACCACGGTTCGATCCCCCAAACAACACTGTCCACATAATAAACAAACGACATCGAGTCCACGGCATCGTCAAAACTGAAATCTCGCCACTGCGACTTTGTTTATGGCTAACCAACGCCGTTTCCTATCCTCGCGGTGTCGTTCCACGAAACAATGTTGTTTTCTACATCGTTTATGTGAAATCTCTCACGACATTGTTCTATATTAAAAACTGTCGTTTTCTAATCCGCAGTGTTGTTGATACCTCTGGCGGCATCGTTTTCAACTAAACGACACCGTCTAAAATAATCTTTAAAATATTAATTAATTAAACCAGCCATCATTGTTGACACGCCATCAAACCCTCACTTCGCGGCGCCGTTCTTAGTTAAACAACATCGTTTTCTAGTCCTGCGATGTTGTTGAGCTTCACGATGCCGTTTAATCTTTCCGCGACATCGCTTTTCACTAATCCATGCCGACCTTGCCAAATTCACAGCCACAACTCAACTGCTTCGGCCCGGTCCCATCAAATAGTGTCATTTTTCATCCGCGACATTGTTCTCTACCAAACGGTGACGTTTTCTTCTCTTGCGGTGCCATTAGGCTTATTCGCGGTATCGTTTGCTAATCCGCGGTATCGTTTTACCCATCCGCGATGCCGCTTGTCTCCACGCGGTATCGCTTCTCCCCTTCCGAAAAGGAATAAAACAACCTCCTTTTCCAACACCAACACTAACCATGCGGCCCACATCTTGTTTTCCGGTAAACAGTGTCGTCCGCGGTACCGCTGAGCTTCCTCGCGATACCGTTCTCTAATTCGCGGTATCGTTTTAACTCTCCGCGATGCCGCTCAACTCCAAACGACACTGTTTTTTTATCCGCGGTATCAAATTAAATGCCTAGACTAATTAATGCGGCATTTAATTCAGGCCAAAATAATTTTAGGTGTGAACATCCACAATAAGAAATGGCGACATACACCTACTATAACTAAAACCGGGTTTGGGCAAGAACACTTCAACTCTATCGAGAACCTGATCCTGGCTCTTGTTGATCATCATGGCATAGCAAATTTGGATAGGGTACTGCATTCTCTTCATCTTAAAAGTTCATCTTTGACCATAAACATTGAAATCAATCCTCAATAGCAGCAGACCCTGCAAAATTTAATTTGAGAGATTTCATGACAAAAATTAAGTATGGTATTAAACCTTGACGGCAACAATAATAACTTTAGCTAATAGTAGCAGGATATGCAATATGGCATTCTGAAAAGCAATTTCCAAGTTGGACGGAAAGCTAGTGCTAAGTTTAGTAAGTACACAATATCAACTAAACTAAAGGGAGCTTCTCCATAAGAAACGTGAAGAACATATTGTCAAGAGTAATAAAGAAGTTAATTTTGTTCCTGCACCACAAACACCTTCATGTCTGCAATTAGCTCAACCACCTGGCTGTAAGGCTTGTAGACATCCATTCAGGTCCATCCAACAACCACATCCGCTAAAGACGCACATGAATCGTTCAAAATAAGGTAAATTTAACAGCATATATCAATATTATGGATAAGGAAGAACAACCGTGTATAATAACAAAAAGCGCCTATAGAAGCAAAATAGCAATATGATGAATTTAATTACCATTAACCTCGTGATCTTATATAGTTCTCTAAGGCAAACCACAAAGAAAGATTGGGCAATTTGTACGCTGCCACTGTTCAAATTCCAATTAAACCTCATAAGCCTAAGCTTGATCCCTGCAAGATAGATGCAAGGAAACCCCCTCCGTTAAGCATGAAAAGGTTAAAAAGAAATAAAATTTAAAGTCCTTTTCCTGCCAGTACATTAACATCACAGTTCACAAAAACAAAGGCATTGGTTATCTCTTACCTTTCAATGACAAACTTATCACCCACAATGTTCGTTTCGTTCATCCTACGGCCCTCTGCCATTAATGGCTCTATTTTGTCCAAGTCCATCTGATGCTTTGAAACTGGGCTTAGGATAGGGTCAGTCATCATAATTACATCTGGACCTTTAGATCTAAGTGAGCCCAGAAAATCCAGATTTAAGGGTTGTCAATTAAAGACATTTTATTAACGGGTAAATGCCACGTTTGGTCACTGAATTTACTAAAATATGTCATGTTTAGTCACTAGAAAAAATTAATATCAATTTTGGTCACTCGAATTACTGAAACGGGTCACATTTAGTCATTCTCCGTTAGTCTCCGTCCAACTCCGTTAAAACCGTCAGTCAATTACTGATGTGGCTAACAGAATTGTCGACTCACCCTATTTTGACCCGCCACATCACCAAAATCAACCCGCCACATCACTTAAATGGCCACGTCACTTTCCCCAACCCAACCCAACCCAACCCATAAACCAAATATTTCCAACCCATAATCACGTCACTGCGTCATCTACCCCTTCTACATCTCCCCAAATCCCTTTCCCTCTCGCCTCCGTCGCGATTTGGGTTTCTGGGAAGCTTCAAAATTGGCATAGACGAGAAGCAATAGGAGGAGAGTGGAGATCTGCCGCCCCCAAGCATTGTGGAGTAATTAGTAATTACAAAACCGGGAGGGAGCAAAGGAATAGAGAAACGAGAAGAGAACAGTACAGAAACGCGTAACCCTCAAACCAGAGCTCTGACCAAAAGCAGAATTAGGGTTGCCGGAGGGTTCCGATAATAGAAAGGGAAGTATGGAAGAATCGGATTAGGCGGAGATGGACACTCTGCACCCCGAAATTACCGTTCCCATAGCCACCATCACCGCCGGCGGCTGGGTTCGGAGGCGGCGGAGAAGGGTAGACATATATGGGCACAGTTTCCGGAAAAGAAGACGACGAAGGCGGGGGCAGTCGTTGGATGGCATTGCAGGTGGCGGTAGAGACGACGGCGGCGGAGGAGGGCATGGCGATGGAGGCGACGGTTGGGGTTGACATGGGTTCTCGCATTTGGAGCACATTGAGCACGAAATTACGAGCAAATCAATGCAATAGTCCATTGCTCGATTACCGAGAAGTAGTTCACCCTACCAAAAGTAAAAACAGACAAACGATGAAGAGGAAAGTGAGGCAAATCTGGTAGATAAGGATGGAATTTAAGGAGGAGCAGCAGCAGAAAGCAACGCCGGCCGCCGGTGAGCCCCTTCGGCGTCTACTTCAACAGCTCTTCCATATCACTGGCTGTCCTCGCTGTTTTGGAAATTGAAGAGTTTGGAGACGACGAATCTGCAATGCTGGGGGCAACAGATCTTCACTCTCCTCCTATTACTTCTCACCTTCGCCAATGTTGAAGCTTCCCTAAAACCCAGATCGCGATGGAGGCAAGAGGGAGGGGGATTTGGGGATAAGATGGGGAAGGGGTAGATGACGTCTGGTCATGGGTTCAGAAGGTTTGGTTTATGGGTTGGGTTGGGGAAAGTGACGTGGTGGGTCAGTTTTGGTGATGTGGCGTTTTAAAATAGGTGAGTCGGCAATTCTGTTAGCCACATCAGCAATTGACTGACGGTTTTAACGGAGTTGGACGGAGACTAACGGAGAGTGACTAAATATGACTCGTTTCAATAATTGGAGTGACCTAAATTGATATTAATTTTTTCTAGTGACGAAACATGACACGTTTTAATAAACACAGTGACCAAACGTGGCATTAACCCTTTTATTAACCATAGTTTTCATAATTGGCTCTTATCTTCTTCGTTCTAACTTGGATTTTAATTTTTTTTGCACACATGGAACGAGTTCGTTGTGTTCTACAAAATGAGATCAATTTTCAATATATTCCGAGAAACTTTTTTTTACCAACTACATACCATATGGTAACTTCTTCGTTTTTAAGTCATTTTTTAAAACGTTTGCTCAGAAGGAACGAGCTCGTCATGATCTATTGGACCAAAAATTACCATACTTTACCACTATGGTATGTGGGTTGTAACTTATGGTAAACAATGATGAAAGTCGTAAATTACAGTTAGTATACTTCTACTATCATGTATTCAACATTCTTACCATATTGGTATGTTCATACCATCATGGTACGCTTTCTTGCCATATGGTATTAAATATGAGCATACCATATGGTAATGACTGATAAAAAATTCTTCAATTTTTTTTGTACTAAAAATATACCAAAGTGGATATCATTTTAAAGAGCACATTTAATCTGATTCATATGTGGAAAAAAAAATTCGACTTAAAACGAGAGAGAAATCGTCCGTTAAAGATTAAAGGGGAAAAGATAAAAGACTTTCCAGGAGAGAGAGGGATAGTGATGTCATGCTGATGTGATGAGTTACTCATAGTTACTGACCATAAGATTGCTGACCTGATCCGTTCCCTTGAAACTGGCATCAAAATCTCAAATATCATTAGATTTTCAGCCAACAAAAGTGGCAAGTGGAGTGACCAACTAATTGGAAGGGTAATTTATAGTGAACTAAGCACAAATTTCTTCGGAATTAGAGCTGGCACCAGAGAGCAGCGAGCTGACAAAGAGCAAAGGAAATGTAAACCAATGAAGCAACAAATAGCATCCACGAAAAACGCTACCCAGTTGGTGTCAAACAAAATTAAAATATATAAAGGTGAAGTAGGTTTGTTGCCGAAATTATTATATTTTAAGACCCCAAATTTAAATAAATTACAACTTAGTCACTATAATGTACATTTTATATTTTAATATCCCAAATTTAATTTTAATGTAAAATCATTGAATAATTATGTTTTGGTATCTAAATTTTATGAGATTTTCGTACCTATAATTTTTTATATTTAAATATTGGTCCAATGTTTAGATTTCACTTGAATCCAATCCACCAATCCTTTTGAACCAATCAATGAATCCAAGCCACCATAACATAAAAGTACAAATTTAGTTTGTACCATACAATATGTTGTAGTACTCAATTGTAGGAGAAGATTCGACCAATTTATATTTACTCATTACGTGAAACATTAAATAAATAATAAAATATAGACGATTATAAAATATTGCAAACGCGAATTTATAAACTCATTTAGTACATTTACGGGATACTAAACAAACTTCTACTAACTACATGTAACAAAAAAAACATGCGACTTCTACATAAGCAAGTTTCAATAAATTGCTACGATGAAAAGGGTTGACTGTTGTGTTGATGGCCAACAAAAAGAATTGGTCAAAATCTTTTCATCATTTACTTACTCTTCGTTTCATTTTTTACTCGCTTTCCATAACCCTTTTCTTTATTTCTTTCTTTGTCTTTTTCGTCTAACCCTAATTAGTATACTATTATTTTTATATAAAGGTGAAGGGTGTACTGTTGCCGAAATTATTATATTTTGACACTCCAAATTTAATTAAATTACAACTTAGTCACTATAATGTACATTTTATATTTTAATACCCCAAATTTAATTTTAATGTAAAATCATTGAATAATTATGTTTTGGTATCTAAATTTTATGAGATTTTCATACCTATAATTTTTTATATTTAAATATTGGTCCAAGTTTAGATTTCACTTGAATCCAATCCACCAATCTTTTTGAACCAATCAATGAATCCAAGCCACCATAACATAAAAGTACAAATTTAGTTTGTACCATACAATATGTTGTATTACTCAATTGTATGAGAAGATTCGACCAATTTATATTTACTCATTACGTGAAACATAAAATAAATGATCAAATATAGACGATTCTAAAATATTGCAAATGCGAATTTATAAACTCATTCAGTACATTTACGGGATACTAAACAAACTTCTACTAACTACATGTAACAAAAAAATGTGACTTCTACATTAGCAAGTGTCAATAAATTGCTACGATGAAAAGGGTTGACTGTTGTGTTGACGGCCAACTAAAAGAATTGGTCAAAACCTTTTCATCATCTACTTACTCTTCGTTTCATTTTTCACTTGTCTTCCATAACCCTTTTCTTTATTTCTTTCTTTGTCTTCTTCGTCTAACCCTAATTAGTATACTATTATTTTTATGTATTCTAATCACAACTATGAATGAGTCCATGCACGACTGACCAACCGTCTAGAAAATTAATAATTGAACCATAAGCCACTAAATTTTTCATCTCAATGTCGAGTCCAATTAAAAATTAATATATGGTTATTACTTTTTAGACAACGTCATTTATCACTATGGGATTTGAAGACGTGAAATTTATAACGAGTTTCCTTATCAAAAAAGAAATTTTAAACGAGTTCCAGTTTGTATAACCTAGATTTTTTTTTGGCATATAAGTCCTCAAAATATTGATGGAACATTACATTTTAGTACCTGAACATTTGAAGTTCTACAAATAGGTCTAATTTTTGTATATGTAATTAAAACACCCTCGAATAAATGGGTATCTGTACCCAATACATACACATTTAGATTATGAATGAAAATATCCATACTGTATCCAAACCCATCTACAAACTTCCAAACCCATATATACGTCACTCATACCCTACCCATAATCAATAGGTCTACTCAAATTTAGGTAAATATTATTTAATAACCAAAATTATTAAATTGAATGTTGACTGCCACCAACAAAGATAATAAAACCAACTTCAGGCTGTGCCGGAGCTCGGCCACCACCTATCTAGTTTTTACTAAACTCAGAAAGAAAGTAGGCAATTAGAAGCCTAAACGGTAAAAAAAGAATAACATTGCTTGTTTGTATCCATCCACTTACTTAAAGGCATAGGAAATCACAGCAACCATTAACCTGACGCACTGGCAGCGTCAAGGTCTTTCTTTAGTGTTTCCCATGAAGTTTTATAAAAGTTGAGGCCCGGGAGCCTTGTCTCCTGCAAAACTGTTAATTGCGCTCCAAACTTCTTGCTCAAGGTTAACTGCAGCAGTAAAACTTATAGCTTTAAAGTCAATGTTTGCGGGGATTGGCCTTTTCTCAAGTGGTTCTGAGAAGAGGTTGTTGTAGAAGGAGACAATCGCATTTCCCATCTCTCTTTGACCTGAAAACAGATTGAAATCTTCGTAATGAAAACAATCACTATATTACTCAGATACTTTTGAAGAGCTATATCTTTCTTTTGGTTGATTTTGCTTACATTAAGCTATGAATTTTTAGAATGATGCTGCCCACAGGCCTACCCTTCAAGATGCTTCAAAGGTGCTGCATCCATATGATAGGGCCTGTGAAACTATATTTTGGGTAAAGGAATCCAATTTTCTATCTGTTGACATGCCTGCCCCTTGTTATTAGGCTTCCCCTCCTCAGTAGAAAGATCAATTTGGAACATTGTCTCAACCAAGTGCTAGATCTAAAGTTTGTTAGAACTTGTTGTTGGCTTGTGTATTCCTTTGGTAAAACCCATTTCACTTTTCTAGTTTGGGCAACATGACAAGTGATCTGTTGCCATTATATACGCACGATTCTCATTCTGCATATTTTGAAGTTTCTCACCTCTAAGGCTGAGTCCAATGGGCACCCCATTTATGGAGGAATCTGCAAAAATGCAGGAGGAGAAGGTCCAATGGGGAGGTTTGGGCCTCCAAAAATGCAGGATCCTTCATATGGAACCCCAAATTTGGAGGTGGAAATGGGGGATCCCCAAATATAGAGGCTCACCAAAGCCTGCCACGTGGCTTTTCTTTTTCTTTTTAAGATTTTAGGGGTTAATTGAGAGTTTAATTAGGGGATTAGTTAGGGATTTAATTATATCAATCATTTTCAAGTGTTGTGTGTAAATCCAAATTAGGTACATAATTTTTTGTTAAAAAAATTCGGACTCGAAATTTAACAAAATTCTATCAAAAAATTTGTATTAAAAAATGATGACGAACTATACAAAAATTAACATGAATAAATTATATTAAGGATACGATAAGTACATGTTTAAGTAAATGGACAAACTGGAAATATTAAGAACCCCAAATATGGAGTTTGTTGCATTGGAGCAAAAGAAGGGAAAATGGGGTTCAATCTCCAAATTTGGGGTTCAAGGCCCCCAAATTTGGGGTTTTGCATTGGACTTGGCCTAACTCTCCCTCATTTAACTGAGTTTCAACTTGCAGTCAATTGAGTCTGGCTGGTTACCTGGGGATATGATATTCTGGATGATATGTCATTAGGGATGGCAATCAAACCCATGCCCACGGGTATCCGACCGCCCCCGACCCAGTCAACGCGGGGAATCCCCGCTTTGACTGGGTATGGGGCGGGTATGGGTAAAACCCGCAAAATATTTGATGGGTATGGGGCGGGTATGGTTTTAGCCTCTCCCGCCCCATACCCATACCCATACCCGCCCCACCAAGAATATTTGTTCACATATAAAAAATACATGGATGAAATAATAATCTATCAATGATAGTGAGGGTAAATAAAAAAATAATTAGTAGAAATGCAATTGAGTGGTCACCCAAATCAAAACCTAATTCATTTTCCTCAACTCTCTCTTCACTCTTTCACTTTTCTCTCGTGTTAGCAAGATTATATTAGTTCATTATTGCTTAGTATATTATTAGAGTCAGATAAATAATGATTTGGATTACATTATAGTACTCTATTTTATGGATTTAGGATAAAATGCTTTGAACCATATTAAGAATTATTGTCACTTTCTCGACTTCATGATATAATAGGTGCCTATAATGTTATAATTGAAAATTTACATGTAAAATTTTATGTATTATAATGTTGCATGTACGGGGCGGGTATTACCCATGGGTACCCGAAACCCACGGGTATGGGGATGGGTTTGCAAAATCTTCCCCCGCATGGGTATGGGGCGGGTATGGGTTTAGATATTTGAAAGCGGGGATGGGGATGGTTTAGGCAAACCCGCCCCAAACCCGCCCCATTGCCATCCCTATATGTCATGCAAGTATACCAATGGAACTCTTGTTTGTGAAATGGGTGTGTTTCCTTCCTGGGTATATTAAGTTTGTTCCAACATCCATGTAATGAAAAGTTGACATATCGCTGAGTGTCTCCCGAATGATAACATTTTCTACGGGTGCAAGATTATCGAAAGTGCTACTTAGCAAGGTTCTGGTATGCCCCTTAAGATGTTATTGGAAAATGTGGTGAGGGATATCCCTCTGATGGTAATGTTACGGTCTTATTCTTCATACTTCCTGTAAAGTAAAATATCTGCAACCATTAGGTCTTAGTGTTTCTACTTGTGGTTTTAGGAAGACTGTTCCAGGATAGTGAAGGCTCTGCAGCCCATCCTTTCCTTGATCCCACACCAAAACTGGATAGGCTCTCCACTAGCCCTCTTCTTCCCGAGTAATAAAAAAATGTGAATCCATATGTTCTACTGCAGGAATGTATTAAGTTTTATTTATTATAATTATTGCAACTCATACTTGCTGCTGACAAATGTAACTGTGATGTATACTAACAGACTCCGTGGAAGAAAGTTTGCATAAATAAAGTCACAGGAAGCTCCAACAGCAGATTTGCCGAGTCAGGCCAGATGATGCAGTGCATCATGTCCAGGAAAATCTGACGGCTGTCTTGGTCCAGGCAGTATGCTAGGTGTGGGGGCAAGGAACTATCAAGATGACAATGTTCAAGCAATAACTTAAGTTTCTCATCAACAAAGGTATCAAGGACAAGCTGCAGCTGGAGATCCTAGGGGCATTCGAGATCACTGCTCAGCAGGGTGAGATACAACAGCCACAAATGGATAATCTCCAAACACCCTATATGAACTGGAGGAACTCGTTTCTTTAGCATATGCAGTACTGTACGTAATACTGTCGGGATCCAAACGAATCCCACAAAACCTTTGAAGGCTTCAGGAATCAGAGATTTTGTGCGACAGAATAGCATGTTTATCTGGAAAAGCTCGATGAAGCATCTCAGCTCAGTCAGAGTATCAGCTATCTCATGCAGGAAATGTTGTTGCTTATGTCCCCAAAGCACGTGCAAGAATGGTCTTGATGGAGAAGTCGAAGATGGTACTGTGGCTATGCGTTATGGTGTCCTGGATGATGGCAATATTTTCTCTGCTGAGGAGTACCTTCCAACCTTCCCTAAGATGGTAAGTCTGTTAGTCGATAAGGGCTTCTGTGTGCTTTCCTTCATACCTTTCTAGCATCTTGAATGCCAGTCATAACTGGTTCAAAACTCATATTCCTTTATCGTCAAATGTTCAGAATAATCATTTTCACTAGGTTTAATTTCCTGGCTACGGTTTGTATGTTAGTTCAGTAGGGCTATATCTTGCTGTTTTTGCCCTCTTTTCAGGATTTGACAGACTGCATATTTTTAGGTTAAATTGAACCTGAGTATTTCATTTTTCTTTCTCTTAGATGTCAGGTGCGATAATACAAGTAAAGAAAGGTGGAAAACTACAAAAGAATTCGCATGATGAAGGGGTTTTTAGATCAAAGATCAGAAACCAAAGGGGAAGTGAGTGTTTTTCGGTAATTGATGTTTTATTAAGCTCTGGTAATTGCTTGGTTGAACATCAACCAACCTTCTCTATAAACTTCATCTGCAAGAGCAGTATGTACATTCTTGCAACCTACTAGTGCTCTAGTTACCTCGCTATATTCATCACATTTTGCATCACAAAGTGCATACCTATCTTCATTTATAACTACCCGCTCTTTTAACTTGTCCTTTGTATTGAGTCTATCCCGTATTGCCAACCACACTATCAGCATGTGTTTAGTGACTAAAGCTTGAAGTAAGTGTTAAGCTACTAGTTTGTCACCTTGAATCAAATGATTAGCTTGTATAAGTTTGACACCTTGAAAATGGTGGCAGGAAGGCTGAAGTTGCTGGGCAGTATGTCCAATATATATTGAGTTCCATATTTGTGTTTCAGATATCTGTTGAGCGATTTCGGTTGCAGCAGCGGTTGAGGAATGGATTAATATTGTCAGTGATCTGAAAAAAACATCCGAGAAGGACCATCGAGTCCGGGCTTCCGCGCAAGAGCTGGTAGACTTTTGCGTAACCAAAGAAATTATTGCGAAGAACAATCTGTCATTGAAACGAATGGGGCAAGTGTGGAGGCACATACACGGTTACAGTGTTTGTCAATCAAAGAACTATCCCTGGGCTGGTGGGCTAGTTACTAAATTTCCTCAAAGTTAGATAGGGCATTTTTACTTCTACCGGAGGCTTAGATAATTAATTACCTTCCTATCCGTTTCCTTTCTGACCATAGTTTTAGCAACTAGCCCACCAGCCCAGGGATAATTCTTTGATTGACAAATACTGTAACCGTGTATGTGCCTCCACACTTGCCCCATTCGTTTCAATGACAGATTGTTCTTCGCAATCATTTCTTTGGTTACGCAAAAGTCTACCAGCTCTTGCGCGGAAGCCCGGACTCGATGGTCCTTCTCGGATGTTTTTTTCATATCACTGACAATATTAATACATCCCTCAACCGCTGCTGCAACCGAAATCGCCCCACAAATATCTGAAACAGAAAAATGGAACTCAATATATATTGGACATACTGCCCAGCAACCTCAGCCTTCTTCCCACCATTTTCAAGGTGTCAAACTTATACAAGCTAATCATTTGATTCAAGGTGACAAACTAGTAGCTTAACACTTACTTCAAGCTTTAGTCACTAAACACATGTTGATAGTGTGGTTGGCAATACGGGATAGACTCAATACAAAGGACAAGTTAAAAGAGCGGGGAGTTATAAATGAAGATAGGTATGCACTTTGTGATGCAGAATGTGATGAATATAGCGAGGTAACTAGAGCACTAGTAGGTTGTAAGAATGTACATACTGCTGTTGCAGATGAAGTTTATAGAGAAGGTTGGTTGATGTTCAACCAAGCAATTACCAGAGCTTAATAAAACAGCAATTACCGAAAAACACTTACTTCCCCTTTGGTTTCTGATCTTTGATCTAAAAACCCCTTCATCATGCCAATTCTTCTGTAGTTTTCCACCTTTCTTTACTTATATTATCGCACCTGACATCTAAGAGAAAGAAAAATGAAATACTCAGGTTCAATTTAACCTAGAAATATGCAGTCTGTCAAATCCTGAAAAGAGGGCAAAAACAGCAAGATATAGCCTATTGAACTAACATACAAACAGCAGCTAAGAAATTAAACCTAGTGAAAATGATTGTTCTGAACATTTGACGATAAAGGAATCTGAGTTCGGAACCAGTTATAGGTTATGACTTGGCATTCAAGATGCTAGAAAGGTATGAAGGAAAGCACACAGAAGCCCTTATCGACTAACAGACTTACCATCTTAGAGAAGATTGGAAGGTACTCCTCAGCATAGAAAATATTGCCATCATCAAGGTCATCATAACGCATAGCCGCAATACCATCTAAGAAATTAAACCTATATCCCTCTTCCCCTGTTTGGGCTGCTGCTGTTGCTCTCTCCCTCTCTCTTTTCTACCTATCAAGTATGAAAACAGAAAAGCAACCAAGAAGAGTGAAAAGAACGTCCAAGCAAGAAGCAATACCTTGATCTCTTCGCGCTGCTGCTCCTCCTCCTCCTCCTCCAATCTCTCGCTCTCTCTCACAGTGAAAATAAGAAATGCCGCTAAGTATTGGGAGAAATTCTTCACTGTTTTGTTTGAAGGGGTTGGGCGACCCACCCACCCGGTTTGTTTAAGATGCACCAAACAAATTTGGGTCCGATAATGACATGTACCCTACCTTAACAATAGCCTTTAATCAACAAATTTTGAATTTTAATTGCTAATGCTATTCTAATATGATCATAGAGCTTAGAGCTACAAGTGTTATCCTAAGTCTTAAACCATGAACCGTAAATTCTAGATTTAAGTCCTAATCCTAAACCGATCAGCTCTAAACCCTTACCATACAAGTAAATCATATGTGAATTTCAAGCAACTTCATTGATGTTTCTTGTTCATCGTATTACAATTAGATGCCTCAATTTCGTACTCAATCCACCAATCCAATCCATACACTTAAGTATTCAACTAATCCAATCAATGTAAATACAATTCAATTAATCCAAATTCAAATCGTTGGAAAATCACACTTAAGTACCTACATTTTTATATTTTACAATTTGATACCTGGAATTTAATTTTTAAACAAAAATCAGTATTGGAAAAAATACGTTTTGGTCCCTGAATTTTTTATCATGACATTTTATCGTCTAAATTTTTCAAAATTTACATATTGGTCCAATGTTCACAAGAAACATGGATCCATAGTCCGACACACAGATCTATTTGATCCAATCCTAGAAATATATATTGGGTGTATATCCTTGGAATTAGAGTCAGACTACTGAACCGATCGTCTATGTAAAATATTTACGAAATTATGAATCTACGTTTGAGACAGAAACGTGAGAACTAAGGCACCAGCAATGGAGTCCAGGGAGAGTAGAGGGTCCTGGGACGGGATTCTTACGAGCACGAGAGAGAGTCAGGGGCTCGACAAAGGGATTTAGAACGAGATATGAATGGATTCGCCGGTGCCGAGGTTCCCATGAGAGATAGACAAGGAGAGGAAATTTCGCAGGCTGGCGACGGGGTTGCAGCATAAAAACACTACAAAATTGTGTGTGATGGATTTACAATCTGTCTAGAAGATGAAGAAGTGCAAGTTTAAAAAAGAAGAGTACCTGGTTCTTGTACAAGGATCCAAGGCAAGTAGCTTCTACTTCCTGTTGAACAAACGAGCATCCTTACAGGAACAAACTTAGACCAATTGAAGCTGGAATTGCAGTTGTTGCTCAGTGCTGTTTAAAACCATCGCTCCTCTGTTCAAACAAATTTCCATCTGATAATGACCCATTTCGACAATTCAGCGAGAGATCCTCAGTACAACCCACAACTCAGAACCCCAACTGGAGTCTTCGATCGAGAAAGAGGAAGGGACCCATCTGCACCAATAGCTATGATAAGGCTTCGTTTATCGAAGATCCCACAAGTCTCTTAGTGTTGTCTCTTAAACACAGCCCCAAGATGGCCTGGCTCCAGAAGCACAAAAATTGAAGTTTCCTGACAAACCTAAAAGGCACCAATTTTGAACCAAGTAACGCAATTGAATCCCAGATAACTCTAGGGTGTGGTTGCTCGGAGATACTGCAACCCTAGCTGTCGGAGAATCTGAAGCTTAAGCCATTTGAACGAAGTAAAGCCCATTTGAACGCCAAGCTTATGCCATTTATCCATGACTATTCCAAGCTGACAGAGATCACGAAAAGCACCCAGACCTTCGAAATACTGCAGCATCTCCAGGGTTTTCGATTGGAAGTTGTCTTTTGATTGCCAGAGTCTACAAAAAACAACATATCCTGTCAATATCAATCTCCCGCTCCTGATAAATAAGAATCAAGTACCAAGTATAAGCCCTTGTAGAATCTTCTCGATTGCCATGGTTTTCCATTGGCAGCAGAGTCATCTTGATTGCCAGCGTGTACAAAAACAACATATCATGCCAATATCAATCTCCTCTAGATAAATAAGAAACCCCCCCAAAGATTGAATTATATTGTCAGTTGAAAATCAAACCCAGATCTGAGTCTACTTTGAATCACTGGCCAAAAGGCATAAGAGACAGTTATTGGGAGATTTGATAAGAAAAGTCAGCAACTTTATCTCGCAGAAACACAAGAGCAACATAAAAACATTAAATATATATGAATCCACCTTCTCCATATCTGGGATCTAATTAAAACAAGAGAGAATTAAGCTTTTCAATAGGAAAAACAGAAAGCACAAAGCTTTAGGAAGGCATGAGGATGAATGAATTGGAATACAAACCAATATGGTATCCATCTCTTCAATCCTGCTTCATATGGATGGATGGATGGATCCGAATTCTCACAACACAAACTCCAAACCATGTTGTTTGTTTGTCTGGCTGCAGATCTCTATGGCTCCAAGGAACATAGACAGAAGGCTGAATTACATGAGAACAAAAGCAAAACCAGTCGAGAACTTTCTCCATATCTATCTTGGACAGGCTTTTGGCCGGAAGGTACAGAGATTGGAAGGGGATAGGAGAGGGAGGTGAGCAGGAGAATCAAAAGAGACGCGAGAACTTGATTCATTCCAAAATAACTCTCTCGCTTTCTCTCTCCTCGTTTAGCCAGCAAGTCAAGCCAAACCCCCGCACCAGCCAGCCCATAACTGCAGGACACATGTGTTTACTTTAGCCCAATAGCCGGCAACTCAAAGTAGTAAAAAATTGGGTTAATGACACATTTGGTCACTGTGATTACTAAATTGTCCCATGTTTAGTCACTAAAAGAAGTTAATATCAAATTTGGTCACTCTAATTACTAAAACAGGTCATGTTTAGTCACTCTCCGTTAGTTTCCGTCCAACTCCGTTAATGTTGACCGTTATGTGCTGACGTGGCTAACGGGAGTGCCTAGTCAGCGTCATTTTGACCCGGAAATGGTCAAACCCAACCCGCCACATCACTAAACCAGCCATGTCATACACCCAACCCAACCCATAACCAAACCCAAGCCCGTCACCACCACTAACATACCTACCTGCCGTCCCACAACTCCAACCACCGTCCTTCGGCGACCACATCGTCCGGAAACAACCCAACCACTCCCCGTCTCAAGTCTCGCTCCTTCTCCAGCCCAGTCTTGCATTGTCGTACATCTTCTTCCTCCAATCTCGGTACTAGTACCACAACCGCAACATCAGAAGACAGCCATGCCCTCCATTGCATAACCACGCAGAATACTCCCAAGGCCACCACGGCGAAGCTCACTGCAGCGAGCTCGAAGCCCAACCACAACTCCAATCTTCCCTCTCCTTGATATCCTCTTAGTTTATGTCTCTTCAAGAAAAGCTTCAAGTTCAGAGTAAGCCCCTTCTTTTTTCTCCTTTTGATTTGGTTGAAATTCTTGTGACCAGGATCTGGAATTGAGGAGAAGGTTTGTAATGGTGGAATCTCCATCGCTATCCACAAGAATATCCATCTTGACGCCGCCAACAACAATGTCAAGCCTAAAATTGAGGAGAAGAGGGCTGTAATGGTGGAATCTTCGCCAGAGCCGTAAAGCAGGAGTCGTCGGCGCCGCTTCAGCAGCAGCCATTGACGCCTAAACTGTCCGACTTGAGGTCTTACGATGACGACGAGCCGCGATAGGGGAATCGATTTAGGGTTTCGTCCACTACTGCCGGCGCGCGATGAGGGAAGCTAACGAAGGTGGATTTGAGGGTTTTGTTGTCTGCTGCGATGGGTGAAACTAACGGCGGCGCGCAATGAAGAAGAAGAAAACAATGGTACTTTGAAGAAGGATCCGGGACAAGGGGATAGGGGGGTAGCATGGAGCTCTTCATCTCTCCCTGGAGTTCAATCGAAAATGGCTGAACCTAGAGGAAAGAGCAGAGCTTCGAGAGGAAGGAGATAGGTTTTTGGTCTGAAAATTGGATTTTTCGATTTTGTTTTGTTTGGTGGGCTAGGGTTTGGTTATGGGTCGGGTTTGGTTCTGGGTCGGGTTTGGGTGTATGACATGGCTAGTTTAGTGATGTGGCGGGTCGGGTTTGACCATTTCCGGGTCAAAATGACGCTGACTAGGCACTCCCGTTAGCCACGTCAGCACATAACGGTCAACATTAACGGAGTTGGACGGAGACGAACGGAGAGTGACTAAACATGACCTGTTTTAGTAATTAGAGTGACCAAATTTGTAATAACTTTTTTTAGTGACTAAACATGGGACAATTTAGTAATCACAGTGACCAAATGTGTCATTAACCCGTAAAAAATTACAGACCCTTTTAATTCTTACCCTGTCACAGGAAGGACTACCTCCCCATTTTTGACAAGAAAAGGATCTATCTATCTCTCTCCTATTCTTCCAAGCTTCAGCCTTGTGGTCTGTGAGCTCACTGACACAACCCCATGATATGGGTCAAAGGGCAGACTCGATCCAATCTAACTGTATCTATAATATATCCTCTCTTTCTTTTCACATTAGCCAGTCAGATGGATCTGACTGATTGACTCCATCCTTTAATCCCTCTGTCTGTAACGGTAACGATAAGGGACTTCATTGTCAAAAACACTTTAGTTGGGTGCATTTTGTAATTGACCAGGCCCTGTAAACAAGATTACAATTCCTTCCTCGAATCACTTTTCCCCCATATTTATTTGAATCGCTATTCGTCCCCCTAAAATTTAAATTCTTTCGCCCTAAATCGCACTAAATTGACATTTGTAACCCTATGCCCAATTTCAATTAGTATCCGTAACTTGGATTGTCGTCCAGCCCACCAACCATCGGACCATTCCCCCACTTCGCGACCGCTCCAATTCTCCCACCACGCCAACCTGCTGTCATTCGCCGCCGACCTGAAACGTAACTTCTAGATTTCAAATACTTAGAATGCGCTTTGAATTGTCGTTATTCTCCTTGCTTCCCTGCCCATATAATACATTCATCTTCCTTACCAACAAACATACACATGTCAGATGTAAAAGACAGTACATAGATGAAATTAATAGAGTTAATACCTTATTTTGGCCCGAATTACAACCATATAATCAACTTTGGCACGTGGTTTCAGAAATTAAAATTCTGGCCTCAACTATGCAGCATATGGATTAAATTGGCCCGACACATGCTTTGACCGTCAATTTGGACGGTCAACATCATTGACCGTTAGTCAACATGCCATGTCATTGCCTAGTCAGCCTAAAAATTATTAAAAAATTCAAATTCAAATTATTTTTCTAATTTTTATGATTTATCCTTTTCAAATTAACCAAAAATTAAAATATAAAATTTTTTTATGTTTTATCTTTTGGGATATTTGAAAATGGTAAATTTAAAATAATAATATATATTTTTGTGGTTAATTTAAAAAATCTATAATAATTTTATAATTTTTTGTTAATTTATAAAATTGTTCATTTTAAAATTATCAAAGAAATAAAATGTAAAATTTATTTTATGTTTTAAAAATTTATTTTTATTTAATTTGATAATTATAAATAATAAAAGTTAAAAAATAACTTGAATTATAAAATTTATTTTTTGGTTCATGTTTTTTATATTTTCTACATTTATAAAATTTAATTTGATAATTTTTTTAATTTATAAAATTTATCATTTTCAAATATCCCAAAAGATAAAACATAAAATTGATTATATATTTTTTGAATTTTATTTTTTTGGTTGATTTGAAAATGATAAATAATAATAATTAGAAAAATAATTTGAATTTCAATTTTTAATGATTTTTAGCTGATTAGGCAATAATATGGCGTGTTGACTAACGGTCAATGGTGTTGACCATCCAAATTAATGGTCAAAGCATGTGTCTGACCATCCAAATTAATGGTCAAAGCATGTGTCTGACCAATTTAGTCTATATGCTGCATAGTTGAGGCAATGATGTTAATTTCCGAAACCAAGTGTCAAAGTTGATTATATGGTCATAGTTCGGGCCAAAATAATGTATTAACCCAAATTAATATGGCTTCTCATTTAAAGCGCAAAGAGTTAAATCCTGGCCTTCTTCTTCTTGCTTGTCATCAGTTCCTCCTAACCATCTGAGTCGCCAATTCCTATGGATGGGACGATGAGATGGCTACCGCTGCTGCAACCACCTTGAACTTCAACTTGTGAAGATGTTGAAGGATATATATAATCTCGGAGCTGAGCTGCCACTGCTCTAGCCGTGTAGCTGTAGCTTGCTTCACCGAGCCGAGCTGGAAGTCGTATGAGGAAGATCTGGACTGTGATCTGTGTTGGGTCCTATTTGGGCCGTAAAATAGCAGTGGTCGGCGGCGAATGACAACAGGTCCGCGGGGTGGGGGAGACGAAACGGTGGCAGATTGGGGGAACGACAGCGGTGGTCGGGCGGTTGGTGGGCTGGACAGCAATCCAGTTACAGATACTAATTGAAATTGGGCATAGGATTACAAATGTCAATTTAGTGCGATTTAGGGCGAAAAAAATTAAATTTTAGGGCGACGAATAGCAATCCCCATATTTATTCTTCCTGTTCTTCTTCCCTTCTCCTTCTTCCTCTCTTCTTCTTCTTCTTCTTCTTCCTCAGTTTGCCCTTTCCTTCTCGAAATTCTTTCCTTCTTCTTCTCAATTCAGTTGCAGCTTGCTACTCAGAAATTGACAAGAAGATCCAGTCTCAATCTCAGGGCATCAGAGCGGCAACCATGGCGACGGCGACGAGAATGGTACAAATTGAGACACGATTTATTTCTGTCAACAATAGGGCGTAAGTGATGGAAACGCGATTTCAGGATCTCAGCGATCACATCTCCGCCGTGGGGGTACAGATGACAGTGGCCGGAGAACAATTTGTTTCTCGACAGAGGCCAAGTCATGCTTCGTTGTTTCTGCGATGGGGAAGCCGCTAAATGGCTGTAACCTTGCTCGTCCCACCTTGGACGAAATGCGGAGATGGAGGGTGATCAAGCCACTGTTCCCAACCATTCACACAGCGATTGTGGATTCCTTGGAAAATCGTCTCCTCCACAAGGTACCCTAATTACCTACTAAGGCCAGAATTTCCTTCCTTCTCCGGTGAGAATCCTAGGGTCTGGGTTAAGGAGTGTGAACGATTATTTGCTGTGTATTAGATCTCTGATCACGAGAGGAGTGGTTCTGAAGGTGGAGTGCTGCCTGCCTTGGTTTGGGGTGATTTCACGGCTGCTCTATGTGGACGTTTTGGGTGGTACATAGACCCCGCTGATCAAACTGCAGCTACTGGGATGGAGCACTACAAGGCATCGATGGAAGATCACGCTCCCGTTTCTATCATTGGAACTGTGGAGAACGATCTCAGCTCTGCAATAACTGAAAAAACAACAACTCAACGAATTTGGAGAAGAATTCAAGGGCTGAAGCTCAGATATGCTCACAGATACTGGAGACAGACAGAAAACACGATTGCCTCTCTAGAATTGGGCAGGTCAACACTTACCGACGAGACATGGGAGGTTATACAGCAAGAAAGGCCTGCTTGGCTGCCAAATTCAGAACTCGGGCAACAAGAGTACTGCTTCAATGTCACAAAACTGGGCAGGACGATAGGAAGCATGTGATGGATACCGATGATCAGGAGGAAGTTACGGCCAAGTTGAAGTTTGGCAAAATGCAACACAGATGAAAAGCAAACTTCTTCTGGGCAATGCTAAGATGGAGTGTATTAAGCAAACAACTTGCCGAGTGAATGAAAGTAAGCTTGAGCTAATGAAAATTGATGTGCAAAGCAAAGCTAGTTAAAATCGGGATTTTACGTAAAATCGAAAATGGGGGTAAAATCGGAATCGTAAAATCGAATCGTAAAATCGTAGGATTTTAAGGTCCATATAAAAATGAAAACGAAATAATATTAGTAAGGAAAATCATGAATAACACAAAAGCACATAACACTTACAATGATAAATTTTCAAGGTTAATGTTCCAATTTATCAAGGTTAATGTTAAGAGGTGCTGAATCGATGAGGATTAATACGTTGATGTGAATTGATTATAATTAATGGTGGTTAGTGTGAGAGAACTAGATGATGTTGGTGAAGGAGAAGAAAAAGAGGCGTAATTTTGCAAATTCTGGGGGGGAAAATGTAAAATTGACTCTAAGATTTGAATCGTAAAAACGTAAGATTTTAAAGATTTTAAGGATTTAAATCGTGAATAGTATAGGATTTTAAGGTCCATAGATTTTATAGTGAAATCAGAATCGGAATAGGTAAGTAAAATCGTAAAACCGTAGGATTTTAGGATTTAAATCGGGATTTTGACTACTCTGGTGCAAAGCCTTGGTGATGAGTTGGAGTCATTTTTGTCTGATAAAGCAGGAGAATTGGGAGTATTGGCAGTCACTGGTACAGCAGATTATGAAACTTAAGGATGTTTTTCAAAGCCTGGTTACTGATTGCCTTACTCAATTCAGTAGGGAATTGGTAATGCCACAAAGTTTGATGCGACTTCTATTGAAGCAATTTGTGGTCTTCTATGTGTTCGACAGAGGTAAAAGGTTCAGTGTATTCTTGACTGAAGCATATCAAAATCAAGAGATTGTTGACAAGTGCTCATTGGTCCTTTGGAAGGAAGAGTTTGTAAGTATTGTTGGTTACAGAGGAAAGAAGAGCAACATCCGTACTTATAGTGATTCATCAGATATAGAAACTACTGAAACAATTGAAAGCGACTCTGATAACACAAACATCGGAGTAGGGATTGGAAAGCTTCATCATCTTGACTTCAAGGTTGAGGCTTATTACTTGAAATTTTTAAATTGAAATTTTACTTTTTAGAAGACCGCGTTTTTTATCCGCCAAAAATTTTGCTCCCTCTTTTCAACAAGAGTCGTCCCACTCCCACCACGGAAACATTAGCTTCTTCTCATGTAGCTATGAACCTCGGTACTTCCACGTTGTTCGGCAGCCATGAGAGTTGCTGCTGCCATTGGTTAGAGTGACATGACTGCTCTAACCCTGAGATCTTCGAAGTTCCTCCCGCTGGAAGGTACGACAGAGATAGTCATAACTCAGAACTCACTCTTTCTTCCCAGACTTCTGGGTTTCTGATTTTGTTTCTCTAGCTTCTTTTTTTTTTTTTTTGTGGTGTAATGATTTTCTCGGTGAAGGAGCTTGAAAGATAGTGCACGATTACTTCTTCCTTCTGTCAATGTTTGTTCAGTGTCTGGAGGGTCACCCGGTTCATATTTCTGGGAAATCTAGTCGAATACAAGTATTGGCGGAAGAGACGCTATGGTTGGTTGAATTGTGAAAGTGTATTGAGAACCCTGTCTATTCTCATTGATATCGTGTGAAATATATACAAGAGTGTTTGAACAGAATTAGCTATTCCTAAGTACAACAGCAACTACTCACTAGAAGTAAGGAACCGAAAGCTAACAGAATAACAAAGGGAAAGAGCTGTTAAGTTCTGTTCCTAGAATAGCTCTCCCTTATCACGCCCCCGCAAGTGGAACCTCGGAGAGGTGAAACTTGGAACAAAAATTCCGGAAGGGCAGACGGGTTAGAGGTTTGGTAAGAACATCAGCGAGTTGATCCGTGGCAGGCAGATAGCGAACGTGAAGCTGTTGTTTGTTAACTCGATCCCGAACAAAATGAAACTCGATTTCCAGATGCTTCGATCGGCTGTGAAAAACTGGATTGTGAGCGAGATAGGTGGCGCCCAAATTATCACACCATAGAACCGGAGAGTTATGAGTGGGCTGCCCAAGCTCGGCCAGCAGCGATTGTAACCAGATAACCTCGGATGCCAATGTTGCAAGCGCCCGGTATTCACATTCAGTAGAAGACCTCGCAACTGCCTTTTGCTTGCGAGTTGACCAGGAAACTAAGTTGGAACCATAGAAAACAGCATACCCAGAGATGGATTTCCGATCACGAGGACTGGAGGCAAAAGAGGCATCCGAATAGCCATGTAGTTGAGGGCAAGCAGAACGTTGGAAGACCAAACCATGAGTCAATGTCCCTTGTAAGTAGCGCATAATACGCTTCACAGCTGCCCAGTGAGCATCAGTCGGAGATTGCTGAAACTGAGACACATGATTCACAGCAAAGGAAATGTCAGGCCGAGTGAAGCTTAAGTATTGGAGACCGCCAACAATACTCCTGTAGAGACCCGGATCAGCAAATGCCGGGGAGAGATAGGAGGCACTTTGCAAAAGTTGATCAGCTGTACATGGAGTAGAGACAGCCTTGGCAGTGGACATTCCAGAACGCTGCAAAAGTTCAAGAATGTATTTACGTTGATTAAGAATCAACCCGTCGGCAGTATGGTGGACTTCGAGACCCAGGAAATAGGATAATTGACCCAAATCCCGCAAAGCAAACTTCGAACGGAGAAAGAGCAGGAGCTGTTGAATAAGAGAAGCATCCGATCCTGTAATCACAAGATCATCAACATAGACCAACATGTACATTATAGCCAAACCATTCTTGTAGATGAATAAGGAGGGATCTGTCTTGGAAGCCGAGAAGCCAAATTCACAGAGAGCGGCAGATAAACAGTGAAACCAAGCACGAGGCGACTGTCGAAGACCATATATTGATTTCTTGAGACGACAGACATAATCAGGATAGTCAGGATTAACAAAACCTGTGGGCTGCTGCATATAGACATCCTCCTGTAATGTGCCATTTAAGAATGCGTTGGAGATGTCGAGTTGATGGAGCGGCCAAGAATGAGAAACAGCAAGACCCAAAATTAGGCGCAAAGTGGCAGGCTTCAGGACTGGACTAAAAGTCTGCTGGAAATCATGCCCTGCAATTTGTTGGAATCCCCGGGCCACAAGCCGGGCTTTATAACGCTCAATGGAGCCGTCTGGGTTGGTTTTGATGGCAAAGACCCATCGATTCGTCAGAATATTGCAGCCGGGTGGAGCGGGAACAAGCTCCCAAGTTTGATTTCGCATGAGGGCATCAAACTCAACGGTCATGGCCGATCTCCAGTGCGGGGACTTCATCGCCTGAGCCACCGTGGAGGGTAGCGGGGGAGCCGTGGCAGCGAGCAGATGGCGAGGCTTTAAGTGGCCTGTCTGAGAGCGAGTCACAATGTGACGGGGAGAAGCAGGAGGAGAGGGGCGGAGGTTGGGTGAGGGAAGCAGGCGTGGGGAGGTGGTGAAGGGCGGGCGGTCAGGGATGATAGAAGGAGGAGGAAGAGGGGTGGGGGTGGGCTGGTTTGGGTTACTGGGGGGAGCTGGTCGGCGGCGCTGGTATTGGAGGAGTGGTCGAGGAGGGTTAGGTGAGATGAGGGAGCGGACAGCTGGAGAGGCAGGGGATCGACAAGGTTGGGGCGGGGAAGTCTCAGCTAACGGAGTAGGGTAGATGGGCCGAGTAAGGGATGTAGTGGGCTGAGGAGGAGGAGAAGACAAAGGAAGGAGGGGCTGGGTCGTGGGGATGGGTGATCGGGATAAGGGGATGGGGGAAATGGGACGGGAGGGAGAGACAGGGGGAGGTTGGGCCGTGGGTAAAGCAGGGGGTGGAGTCAGGCCCAATTGGGGAATGGGCACAATGGGCAGGGACGGTGGGGTGAGGGGAAGTATAGGAACAGTGGGCAGGGAAAATAAATGGAATAGGGATGGATCAGGGGAGTCAGAAAATGTGAAGGTGGGATCCGAGAATGGAAATTTGGACTCATCAAAAACAACATGACGACTCACATAAATGCGAGAGGTCGTAGGATCTAGGCACCGATATCCTTTATGCAATTTACTGTAGCCAAGAAAAACACACGGAATTGACCGCGGCTCAAGTTTGTGGGATGTGTAAGGTTTTAACCATGGGTAACATAGACAACCAAAAATCCGTAGATTAAGAATATCAGGAGAACGATGAAACAAAGTTTGGAAAGGAGAAGAGTTTTGAAGAAGAGGATTGGGAGTGCGATTGATAAGGTAGCAGGCAGTATCAAACGCGAGTGTCCAATATTTGAGGGGAACACGAGCTTGGTGGAGCATAGCAAGGCCATTGTTGACAATATGACGGTGTTTTCGTTCGGCACACCCATTTTGCTCAGGAGTGTAAGGACATGACGAACGATGAATAATGCCATTACTCGCAAGATAAGATTGGAGGGCCTGGAATTCGCCACCCCAATCAGATTGAAACATTTTAATGGGAAGGCCAAAGAATTTTTCAACAAGCTGGCGAAAATGAATGAAAACTTGAGGGAGTTGAGATTTGTATTGAACAAAATAAATCCAACTAAACTTACTGTAGTGATCATAAAACAAGATATAATATGATTGATTGTCATAAGAAAGAATAGGGGTCGGACCCCATAAATCACTACAAATAAGCTCCAAAGGAGCAGAAGCACGATAAGTGGAAGAAGAAAATGGAAGTTTGTGACTCTTGCTAATAGAACAACCATGACAAAGAGAAGACGAATCATCATGATATTTTATTTGATTGCGAGATACAAAAGATTTCACTACTCTCAAATTGGCATGCCCAAGTCGTTGATGCCAGAGATCAAGAGAAGCAGAGAGAGCACGAGGCGCAGCAGGACGAGAGATGGAGAGCGGAAGCGAATAGAGACCACCATCCACGGATCCGCGATAGAGTTCAGAGTTCGTGCGGCGGTCCTTAATAACAAAAGAAGAGTCAAAAAATTCAATGGAGATAGGATTAGTGCGAGTGAGGGAGCTAATGGAAAGAAGATTATGAGGGGCATTTTTAACACGGAGAATGTTATCAAGAGAGTAAGAGAAATTGGAGAGACAAGCACGAGAAGAACCAGAATGAGAGATAGGTAGACTTTTACCATTGCCAAAGGTCACTTGGTCGGTGCCATTATATTCGGAGTGATGAGCCAAATTATCCAAATCAGAGGTAAGGTGATGATTAGCTCCAGAATCGAGCAACCATTGTTGAGAAGAGTGCGCAGGATGAGAGGATTGGGCTAAGTAAGAAGCTGGGCCATGTAGGGTGGGAGCTTGAGGGGAAAAGGATGGGCTGGGACAGTTGGGCCGAATGTGGCCCCTTCCCCCACAATTGTGACAGACAGGAGGAGATAGGCCAGATGGGCTTGCAGGCCCAGAGCCCAACAGCCCAGCAGACAAGGGCCGATTCATAACCTGAGGGTAATAAGACTGGGCCGCCGGCCTGGAACCACGGCCCGCAGATCTGCCACCACGGTTGCGTTGAAACCGACCGCCGCCACGCCCCCGAGCAGGCATACCTGCATAAAAAATTTGCATAGACGAGCTGCCGCCATTAGCTTGAAAACGACGGAGCTGAAGCTCCTCGCTCACCAAAAGACTGCTCAAGTCTTCAAACGAGAGCGGACGAAGCTGAGCCTCCAGATTGCGGGTGAAGGGACGAAACTCATCGTCCAAACCGTCAAGAACAGCAGTGACAAGCTCGGCTTCAGTGATTGGCGCCCCCAGCGCCGCTAATTGATCGAAGATTCCTTTGGCTCGTTGAAGATATTCATGGGCTGAATCATTGCCGCGAGCAAGCTTTTTGAAAGAGCGGCGAAGATGGCCGATAACCACAGGCGACCCGGAAGCATAGACACGAGCAATAGAATCCCAGGCTTCCTGAGCAGTGGATTTATTGATAATAATCGGCATGACGGATTCGGAAAGAGACTGCGTGATCCACATCAGAACGAGCTGATCACGTTCATACCATTGAGTGTAGGCAGGATTGGGTTGATCAGCAACAGTGGGCGGCGGGGGAAGAACCGAGCCATCAACGTGGCCCATTAGGCGAGAGCAGCGGAGCAGAGGGTGGAGTTGGGCGCGCCACAGGAGGTAGTTCGTCGGGTTAAGTTTGACCGACAGCTGAGGATTGCTGGGAAAAGAAATAGGAGCAGTTGCAGAGGAAGAGACATTGACAGACGAAGGAGAAGGGGTAGAAGATGTTGTTGATTCAGTAGTCATGATGACAGGGGAAGAGATGAAATTTTGCAGAAGGTAAAAGACTCGTTAGAGTTTATAATTGCTCTGATACCATGAAAGTGTATTGAGAACCCTGTCTATTCTCATTGATATCGTGTGAAATATATACAAGAGTGTTTGAACAGAATTAGCTATTCCTAAGTACAACAGCAACTACTCACTAGAAGTAAGGAACCGAAAGCTAACAGAATAACAAAGGGAAAGAGCTGTTAAGTTCTGTTCCTAGAATAGCTCTCCCTTATCAAATTGGACCTGCTGCTTTATTCAGTTACCTCTTCGGGATTTGGCAAATGTGGTTTATATTTGTTTCGTAGCTTTAATTTGATTGATAGTGGGGGATAGTAAATAGGCTGCTTTGAATGAAATGACGATGCAATTTATTTATATTGAGCGCCTCATCTTTGCTTCGATTGTGTTGGCTCGATTTGGGTTAAGATCACTCTTGGTTGTTTGATTGTCTAGTGTGTTTAGCAAAATAGCTTGAGAGCTGCTAGTCACGGTGGTGTCTGTCTTTTTTCTCCCATTCTATTTGTTTATCTGTTGTGGCTACTTATCTGGGACTTCCACTTGATGGCTCAAAAACTTGGTTGAAGATGGAACAGATAGGAACAAGAGAATTCAGGTACAGAAAATAACGTCAGAGGAAGTAGGAGCCTAGGAGGAGAGCTTCTCCAGTCATTGGTTCTCAGGATGTTGATTTTTTTGCTGTAAAATCCTTTTTTTCTTCTCTTGCTTGGAAACTTTTTGGCTTAAATGCTTTACTTTTCACAGTACTGGTCCGAATAAAGAATCTGCGGTTGTACTCTTTCTATTATGTCAATCTTCATTTTAGATAAGCTGATGTTTTCATCCCCTTCATAATTTATTGTTTCATTTCTTGTGTTCATTAGGTGACTATAGGTTGTCAATGACTGTGTTCTGTCTTTCACAGGTATGCAAACATAGAGGATGTGAAGTACAGAGATTCTGTTTTGTTTCCTGGATGATCAGATAGATCTTCTAAGCTGAGATCCTCTGAGAAATCAAGAACTTAGACCTTCTGCTGCATAATCTGTGTTCTAAGAGATGCCGTGAGCTAGAAGTCATCGTCATTGAGGTATGCGCTTCTATTCTAAATGTTTTCGCATGATGATGTAAGTAGTGCTTTTAGAACTCAGTGTGAGCTTGTACGTTGCCTAGTGGGTTTCTTTATGAACTCAACTTCATTAGTGTTAGTGAATACTTCTATCTCCATATCCTCCTCCTCAGACTGCAAGCCGACAGGTGAAACACCAATGGAAGGCTTGGGCAGTGTAGAAGACACAAAAATAGAAGAGGAATAAGAAGGAAGAGAAGGATTGGGAATGGAATAAGAAGCCTGGTCAGCATTAGAGGAGGAGGAGGTGGAAGATTTTGCACGCTGAACTATAGGAGGGATTGGAAGAAGGTGAGGTGTAATGAGATCAGGTAGAGGGGAGTGAGAAAGAAGGTTTGGTTGAGTAGTAGATGCAGAAGGGGAACTTGTAGTGGTGACATGATCAGCAAGAAAGGAAGAAGAAAGTGGAGTAGTTTGAAAGGGTAAGATGGTTTCATAGAAAGTCACATCTCTGGATACAAGAAGGAATGTGAATTAATGTCAAAGAGTTTGTAACCTTTGATTCTAGAGGGGAATCCAAGGAAAATACACTACCTGGCCCTAGGATCAAACTTGGTTCTATCTCTGTCTAGAGTAGAAGCATAGCAAAGGGATCCAAAAACCTTCAGATTAGTGAGTGCAGGAGGCTTCTTTTAGAGAAGCTCATATGGTGACTTATTATCAAGAACAGAGCTAGGTAGTCTATTGATAAGTTAGACAGCATGAAGTACACAATCACTCCAGAATCTGAGTGGTATGCCGGATTGAAAACGAAGTGATCTAGCAACATTGAGTATATGTTGATATTTTCTTTCAACTCTGGCATTCTGTTATGGAGTTCCAACACAAGATTGCTGGTGTATGATTCCTTTTTCAGTATAGAAATCTGCTAAGTGAAACTCAGAGCCCTGGTAACTTCTGACAACCTTAACAGATTTGGAAAACTGTCTTTCAACCATAGTGCAGAAGCTTTGTAACAGATAACTAGCTTCCGACTTAAATTTCATGAGAAATACCCACACTACTCTTGTAAAGTCATCAACAATTGTCAGAAAATAAGCATAGCCTTCATGAGACTTAACTGCCAAAGGACCCCAAATGTCTACATGGACCAAATCAAAAGCATCAGGTGCTCTACTACTACTGACAGGAAATGGAAGTCGTTTATGTTTAGCAAAGTGACAAGTAGAACAATGAGAAACTACATCTCTATCACTAGCTAACAACTGCTTCTCTTTGTCTTTGCTGGGATGTCCTAGTCTCCGTGCCATAGCTGGATATTTTGAGGTAGAAAATTGTAAGAAGTGGTTGCTTGAGGTGTGGGAAGAAGGGATGCGTTGGTCTTGGTATGAAGTTGATATAATCCATTACTCTATCTTGCCAAACCAGTCCTTTTCAGGGTCACCAGGTCTTGAATTTGACAAGAATCAGATTCAAAATATAAGGATACTGGTTGGTCATGTGTTAATTTGCTGACTGGGATAAGGTTAAATGTGAAGCTGGACACTAGGGGAACATTGTCTAGAGACATATCAGGAGATAGTTTAACTTTGCCTACATGACTAACCATGACTTGTGTGCCATTTGGCAAGTAAACAAATTGATCACTGACTGGAATGGACTCATAGAATAATCCAAGGTTGCAGGCAATATGATCAGATGCCCCAGTATCAAGGATCCAGGAATGAGAAAGAGAGTCTGTCTTATGTTGCATGAAGGAAGACAAGATGAACCTACCAGCATATGAAGGAAATTGAGAAACATTGTGAGCCACAGAAAAAGCCAAGTGATTGACAGAAGGTGAAGCTGGAGGAGAAGGACTAGGAGATGGCACAGTCTGCAGTAGATATCTGAGCTTATTCATCTCCTGTGGAAAAACTGAAACTCTCCTTTGAAGCGACACTTCGAGTATCACAACTCATTTTGGAGTCCGAGCTTGTATAATCACTCTCAGTAGAAGATTCTCCATGAGTAACAGCTGCAGCTACTCCCCCAGCCATTCTAAGCTTCTTATTTTTCAGTATGTAGCATTCTTCCTTTGTATGCCCATCTTTCTTGCAATATCTGCAGAATTTCTTTCTATCCTGTGATTCTCCTTGCATTGCCAACGCAACAGTTTGTACTCCTCTGGTAATTCCTCTGGCTGCCTTTAACTTTTGTTCATGTTGTAAAACATCATTGATTGCAATGTCAACAGTAGGCAATGGTTTCATCATCAATATCTGTGTGTGTACCACACCAAACTCAGATCTAAGACCCTTCAGGAAACGAATAAGATAATTGACCTCTTGTTGTTGTTTGAATGCTTCAACAACAGCACAGGGCGAGTTCTTTGTGGTGCACAGTTGCAATCAACAATTGGACTAAATTGGAGGTGTTCCTCCCATAATCCCTTAAGAGCTGTATAGTACTGAGTCACATTATGAAATACCCTAACCCGGCCGGGTACTACTTTTACTAAAATGCCCTTGACAAATAAAGTACTCAAATCTTAAATTGCAGCGAGAAATTTTTTCATAAATAAAATACTGAAACACACTTGTAGTTCAGAGCAAAGCCCTAACACGTGGGCAAATTAAACTCAAACTTTAAATCTCAATCTGTTCTCCAGTCTATACTCATAATCATAAAATATTAATAACTAGGTAGTCTCTGTCGTTGCTGCTACTAAAAATCTTAACTAGGCATCCTCCGTGACGCTTGCACTGCCCCTCCTCTAGCTGGTTGCTCTCGAACTTTTCCTCTCGAACTCGCTGCTCTCTAACTGCTCCTCTAGCTAGCTGCTACCGATCTGGTTCTCGCTCATTCCCTTACTAAGGCTTGGTGAGTGAGTTGGGGTCAGGCAACAGACTGGCGCTAGTGACTAAAAACACTTAAAACGACTTCACCTTCTTGAAGGCGAGTTACTTCTTTAAAAGGAACTTGTTTCTTAACTTTAACAATAACTTATAAACGGAAAGCTCTAAATTAACTAAGAACTCATGCACATTCACATCAAACATAGTTCAAACAAAATCACATATCATCAACCATAATCATGCAATCTCAAACATGAATCAAATACTGCACATACATCACGTAAAGCAATATTCGAAATACTCAAAGCAAATACTTAAAAATCGTAAGGCGTAGAATTTACCCGCTTTACACTCACTTGTTACTCAAACTAATTCGCTTGAACTCACAAGAAACCATGCTTCTCGTAGTATGCTCCTCCAGCTCAATTTTTGCACCACTCACGAAAGTTATAACTTTCATGATCAAAGCATTCTCCCGGGCCCAATTATATTCCAGGCAGTTGCATGACATCCATTATTCTCATGGATCCTTCTTGATTCGAGTGTCCATTATTCTCATAAGAGAATTTACCACCCAACCAATCCTACAACCATCTTCTTTTTATTCTTGGCCTCACGGTGCATGGAAGATCGCCAATTGGGTCGATTTGAATGTTTCTACGATCCCTCTGCTCATCTCTCTCAATCGCTCTTGCGCCATAATGAAGTACTCCATGTGAAAAACTTCAGCTACTTTCTTTCGTTGCTTTGGGTCTCCGCTGTCAGCTCTTCCCCTGCGCTATTTTCCCCCCTTTTTGTTAGATGGCTTGCTCTAGGTGTAGAGACGATTGAAAAGGAGGGGGTGAGAGGCGGATGTAAATTTTAGGTTTTTTTTTTTTTTTTGCCGCTAGCTCTCTAGGTGAGTAGGGTTTCTCTTCTTCTTTTTCTTTTTTTAAGGTTGGGGAATTTGATTTTTTGATAATGGTGATGTAGATTAGAAATAAACGGCAAAAAGCCAAAGGAGTCCAAAGGAAAACAGTACAAGAGGGAAAGCAGGTTCAGAAGCACTGAACCGCAACAAAAAAACAGCCAACAACAACAGACAAGCAGAAGGAACAGAAGAACGGCTCAGGGAAAGAGCCCAACAGATCAGTACGACAATACACCAAGACAAAGGGGACAAAGGCAATGTCCACGAGCAGGCAAGGGGCCTCCTAACGCAAAGAGGCACCAACAGAAGAAACCACCGAAGTACAGCAACAGCACCTACAGAGGAGACCACCGAAACCCAGCGCCAGCAGCAGCCACGGCACAAGTCCAGCAGACGAAAACCAAAAATCGTGCCCAAATCAAAGCAAAATCAAGCAAACCAGCCGCAGCAACCCCGATCAGGCAAGCACACGCCCAAACAGAGTCTCCAACCCAGACCAACCACCCGATCGATCTCGCAACCCCGATCAGGCAAGCTCGGCCCTCTCCTGTACAAATTTTATATATATATATATATATATATATATATGGTGGCTACTTCGGTGCACTCACTTTTTTGGGTGCACTCAGTGCACCCAACTCTAAAAGCGTCCATAATACATCAAATTTTGAACTTTAATTAGTACTCTCAATATAATATGATGATATGACATAGAATTATAACAAATCAATCCATTACCCTAACCCCTTAACCTTCAATTTTGAATCCCAACCCAAAATCCCAAATTGTAAACCTAAACCCTAACCCTAAATCCCTAAATCCTAAATCCTTCGAATTAAAGTAAATTTTGAATGAATTTTTTTCAAATTCATGTGCTTCTTGTTCATAATATCATAAGCAACAATTGATACCGTTTTGACATAAATCGCATGGTCAGAATGACAATTATGAAGCGGGTGCACTGAGTGCACCCGAAAAAGTGGGTGCACCGAATACGGTATCAAAACGGTATCAATTGTTACTCTCCACTCATTGCAATCCTCGAACGATTGGGTTAACGGTTACGTACGAAGGGTTGCAACCGTGAATTAGTATGAAATGACCTATAAATTCTTCTCTCCACTCATTGCAATTTCAATATTCTGGTGACTTCATAACCCCTCACATCACCTATGCACCTTAGATGTATGTCGGAGAAATAACTACCTCCATTATGCGGTATACGAGACGTTAATGCTTCTCTCAAACCCCAAGGTTATAGATGGCAGCTTATCCTCTATTCAGTCAGATGGTACAACTCCTTTAACATAACTCTCATCTGGGGTTGATCTCATAGATCACCAAGGTCCTTGTATCTCCTAACCATAATGCCTCGTCTTATCCATTAACCATAAATTGAATGGTCACCTTCTTGTTACTTGTTGCTTAGTGTTGGAACCTCATACTACTGCTTCGACTTTCTGTATGCATTAGAGGCATCCTTTGCATCTTTCTCTAGCTTGCGATCAACTTTATGACTTCTTTCCAGAATCATGACCTTCCATTTTGAGTACTTGTTCACTCCTGGCGCCTAACTTAACACTTCCTTATCACCGTTTGACTGGGAGTTCTCGTACGATCTCTTCTATTGTTCTTAGACCTTGCCTGAAATTCCTCGTGCAGTTTCCCCGTTCAAGAAATTTTCACCCCAGAGATCGCCACCTTTCACCCTCATAGGCGGTCTTGGTTTCACATTGGGTACCCAAGCAGGTTCCCTAAACTCATATCTATCTTGCTTCCTTACTCGTGACTCTTCTTCCTGATGTTCCTCGTTAGTTCAAGATGTCCCTCATACTCGATGTAGTCATCCAGGTGTCCATATTCTCTTCTCACTTATGTACCTTGACTAACAAGGTTCTCCCTTCGACTATTCTGGCAACTATTATAGGCAGTGCAAGCGTCACGGAGGATGCCTAGTTAAGATTTTCAGTAGCAGCAACGATAGAGACTACCTAGTTATTTACATTTTATGATTATGAGTATAGACTGGAGAACAGATTGAGATTTAAAGTTTGACTTTAATTTGCCTACGTGTTAGGGCTTTGCTCTGAATTACAAGTGTGTTTTTAGTATTTTATTTATGAAAAATTTTCCCGCTGCAATTTATGATTTGAGTACTTTATTTGTCAAGGGCATTTTAGTAAAAGTAGTACCCGGCCGGGTTAGGGTGTTTCATTTTGGTAACAGAGCCGGTCTTCCTCTGTTCCTTTGTTTCCAAGGAATACTGGAATGTCGGTCTCAGTTTTAAAGGCTTTTGTTTTAAAGGAAAGGAAAACGAGTCAAGGATCTTCTTTTAAGAGTTTATAGAATCTCCAGTCTACTCTTACCATATTAAGGTGAATAACTATGACAGCACGGCACGAAGGGATGGTAGCCTAGGGTGCGATTGTTTAAGAATAGGCTAGGACGCGATTTAGTTAACATGTTGTGGTTTGTCAAATGAGAGATTTAGGCCTATGGTGATAGCCAGTAAGAAAGAAAGGATGAAAGAAACGTGACCAACCCAAGTAGAATCTCAAAGGCTCTCAAGACTAAGTATCTCATCGACATGATGGATAGTAGTTTTTCAATTAGTTAACCAACTACTCGGATGTTAGCAAACAGATCATCATCATCAACCTAGAGAAGGAAGGAGGAACGTTGCAAAGGTCTGTGGAGGTAGAATCAAATGTGCGAGGACTTCAACTCCAAACACCAGCAAAGAGGTGCCAATTGAAAGGGAATACCTCAAGGATTTTGAAGGTGTTGAGAGAGTAGTACGAGGATTTTACTATTAGGAAACAAGTGGATGATCTAATAAGCTAAGACAAACAAAGGGGAGAAATATGAATCTCCAAAGGAAGAGGAACAATCACAAGATGCCAGTAGCTATGTTAATAGGATGATGTTAGGGTCTTTGGTCCTAAGCAGTGGAAAGTGTGAAACGGGTCAAGAAACGAAGAGGTACCCCGAGAAGTCCCTCAGCTAGTTTTTGTGGTCGATTGCTCAACGCCATTACCACACAGTGACAAGGAGTAGAGGAATGTTTAGACTTTAAGAAATGCTAGGGTAGTATAAAGGAAGTGAAGGAGGAAATAAGTAGGTTATAAGGAGTATGAAAGGACGTCAAGAAGTCAATAAGTCAAGGCAAAGATGAGGCATGGTCATTTACTTATGACGACAAAGGAACCCTTATACGTAAACTACGTCACTACAGAAGAGGGTACATGACCCTGGGGAGTTAGGCCGATGACAAGCCTTTAAAAGAAACGT